GGACAGAGAGGAGATAATTGGAAAAACCCCCGACAAACCAAAGAAACAAAAAAATGAAAAGGATGTAAAAGGTAATTCGAAGCCAGAGTGGTTATAGGCACCGTGGAGATGCGGGCACTTTTCTTGTAAGTGCCTCTCCGGTGCCGATAACTGCTGTGATAAAAGTGATTGTATGTGCTTCGACGAAAATAATCGGAAACAAGTTGAAAATAGACAAAGTCGCGCTTAAGGGATAGACCGGTAGTGTCTTCGGTGAAGTTTTTTAATTTTGTTAAAACCTAACGATTTGGCTATTTTCTCTTTTATTCTTTGGATGAATAAATCAAGCTGTACACCGAAAACGCTTGAAATAGTAAAATGTTTGGTATTTTTTCTAGCAGAGAGTCGTATACCATTCAATGAAATTCATTTTGAAGTTCTGAAAACGAATTCGCATGATCAGATGATAACAGACTCATTTGATAAGATACAAAATATAGCAGACAAATTTGTAGCCAAAGCAACATTCTTACTGACCATGACTCCGACGGTAAATTAATTTTAAAGAAAAATATATTTTCGCCTTTTTACTCAATTTTTTCTGAGATCGATCTTCTCAGAGCGATATAAATGAGGAGGAGCGCTCTGGAAAGCCACAGCAGCAGAGCTCCGTAGCTCTACTCCTCAGCCACCATATATTGCTCTAAAAAAAATAGTCTCTGATTCTTTTTTATCTTCAAAAAGGTTGGTGGTATGCTATGTGGACTTGTTCAGACTTGGACAGACAAAACGAATAAATTCCATTCAGTTTTGGCAAAACGAATAGTTGATACAGCTGAAAAATTGGACTTGGAAAATAATATCCATCATTTCATATCGACGATGACGCAAATTGATCGAACGTTTGGTCGAATTGTAAATAATCTATCAATTCATGAAGACGCCGAACTCGCGGATATCCGCCGTGTTTTGGAAATAGAAATTGAAAATTTCGATCGTAAAATCGGAGTTTATAAAAAATATCCAACACTTTCAATTAATTCATTTTTTGTGCTACAAATTTACGTGCTGGCATTCGATGCGCTGTTCAGACAAAAGAAACCGCATTTAGCCAAATTTTCACAAATGACATGTGACATTAATCGAATGCTGTACGAATATCGTAATCTAACTGTGTATAATCGATTAAATTTGATCGATTTATCGGCAACGTATTGGTTTTCCGAAGAAAAAGCGAAAAAAATTAAAGCCAAATTAATTCCAATCGTCGGCAGTATTCCGTACAGTGCTAGCGGATATAATGACGCCAATGCAAAAACAATTGCATGCACGAAAATGAGAGAGATAAAAGGCATACCGCCGATAATAATGTACATAAAGGACGGCGATAATTCATTTTATGACAATAAAGATTGGAATAATATTGAAAATTGTCTTATAGACTATATGAAGTACGCCAGATATCAAGTTGAACGATTTTTTGATAAACCACTTACACTAACCAATCTCGTATGTTCCACGAAGAAAGAGAGCCAACTCGGAATTAAAGGTAATAAATTGTTGATTTGAACATTCCCGTTTTTAGAATAAATGAATTGGATGGGATTTATTTTACAGGTTTTGCACATCTGGACACTAAAAATCATATTCAATTGGTACAATAATGGTGAATGAATGTGATTTATAATGGATATGAGGTCAAAGCGAATTGATATGATGCCTAATTTTTTGATTTATCAAACTAAATGATCCAAGCGAGCTTTTTGATTTCAATTTGAATAGCAAGCCTTTTAAATTAAACACAATTCATTATTTGTACAAAGAATTAATAAATAATATTATTCTTGATCCATTATAAATCAATTTTTGTTGTTCATTTGGAAACATATTTCGTTTTATTTTGGATATCTTAAAATTGAAATAAAACATCGAAATGCATCGCAATAATAGATAAACAAAGATTGTTGCTTCGTTTTTATGTATTTTTTTAATGGAATAATTTTGATGTTTGAATCATGACAAATAAACGACTTTCGATCGAATCTTTTTTGGGAAATTTTTTCAAATATTTTTCGTTTTTAACAGGAATTGTTATTGAGGATTGGTGTGAGAAGAGATGTCACAATCTTAAGTCATTAAGTGGCTTCAGTACTGGATGTGTTGTCACAAAGAGTTTTACTAATACACACACAAAAAATAGAATCTGTAAAAAATCAGCCAACTGGTAGTGAAATTGTGAATTATTACCCAGAAAGACCTTTCAGTTGACGTTTTTTGGAGAAAAGTTGAAAAAATTTGTTCGTCGCAATTCACATCAATACACAAAACACAACAAGCACCTAAGTGTAGCGCACACAAAAACGAAGTTCGTTGTGTTAGTATTTATTGGTGCGAATAATTTCACAATTGTACGACATTCAGCTATTCAATGGTTTGCCATTGGCATTGTCAACCAACACGTTAGGCGACGCCACTGACGAAAAAATATTTCTTTTCTCTTCGTCACATATATTAAAAGTATAGGAATAAGGTCTTATTGTTATTGCCATTACTGCCATTGAAATCGGTGATTTATCGGTATATTGAAGGTAAGACAACTGCAGTTGTTCTGATATTTGACCAAGTCGATGTGAGCTAATGAGAATGCTACTATGAAAATTACGAATGCAAGGAGCAGTAAAGGTCGTAATTTTAAATTTTACCACCAGATGGTTGACTTTTTACAGATGTCATTTTTTATGTGCAAACAAATGTGACAACACCGAAAGTGTTGTCACAAAATGTAATTAATGATCTTCCCATATGATTGTGTGTTGAAGATCATTAGTGTTAGAATACAAATACTTTCGAGCGATACGTCGAGTGAATTACTTTCATTTTTGCATTCAAGCTGAAAACACCTTCATTTCATTGGATAATTTAGTGTGCTATATTTAAGTTAATTCTTTAAAGTTAAAAAATCGAAAATTTATTCTCGTGAAAAAAGTACTCATTTTCTGAAATGGAGAGCATCACGTCGGGACCCAAGAAAAGTGATTTGGCACCGAAGTTTTTGCGG